GATTGAAGAAGCCCGCAACAATCATCATCATCATCGTCGTCATCATCATCATCATCATCATCATCATCAACATCATCATCAGCCTTTTCCGCCCGTAACGGAGTAAAGGTCACCAACAAAGGCCCTCCAACTACACGTCTGTCCCATAGATAGTCTCTACAACTGTCCCAACTGCTGCATCCTATCGGAATCTAAGTCACTCCACTAAATATTTTAAAGCTGTCGTTTCTTTCTGTAAAAAAAAAAGTGCTCTCCCGCACCATCTTTTTCCTTATAATACTGTTAGAGAAAAAAAATTAATGGTCTCTTTTTAAAAGAATGTTTATCGAGTCTTTCTGCTGGGATGTTTGATCCTTCTCAGCCTGGGATGGCCTTGACTGACAGGGTCGGAGCCGGGAGCGTAAAAACACCGACATTAACACATCATTTTCAAGTCCACGTATTCATATTAATAATGATAATTGCTCGTGCGACTGTTTGTTGTGGTTCATTAGAGTGTGGGTGTATGATAATTGTATTATAAAAGTTAATGTATGGAAACCCACGCTCCTGTGTGTAGTTGGCGGGTGCTCTGATGTGGTTTGCTCCTTCTCTTTCCTACCAAACATTCTATCGTTCTTACTTTTACTGTCTCCTCGGATCTCCTCTTTACGATACTCTCTAGCTAACCTTTAATCTCTGGCACTTATATGGCCTATTTTTGTTGCAAATGCTGTAAAAATCTTACTAAATCTAAATCTAAAAATAATATAATTGTATGTAAATGTTAATGGCATGCAAAACCCGCACTCGGCTATGGAACTGCTCGTTGGTAGTTTCTGAGTGAGAGCGGCTTGGTCTCGGAACGTGCCACAAATTGGAATGTGCCATGCGTGGGGTCGCATTGGGTGACATGATTGTCCACGCCTCTTCGCCTGCGTGCACTCGGTATGTCAGCCTCTTTGCGTCCGCCGTCCTCTCCGCCCCCTCTCTCTTTCCTCCCCTCCCCTCTCCTGCGCCCCCTCTCTCTGTCTCTGCCTCTCTCTCTTTCTCTCTGTCTGTCTGTCTAACTGTCTCTCTCTCTCTTTCTCTCTCTCTCTCTCTCTCTCTCTCTCTCTCTCTCTCTCTCTCTCTCTCTCTCTCTCTCCAGCATTAATGTCATCGTTGTTGTTGTTATATATTCCTACATCGGAGCCAGGAACTTTCTTTTAAACCAAGATAATTCTAAAAGAATAATTATATAACACAACATACACTCGGTTAGCTGTTCAGATGGCACGGCAGCTTTTTGGAATGGAGTGATGGCATAGAGGCTCAGCCCGAGGCTTGGGTACAATACTCCTTCGTGAACTCGGAAATGTAATGTGTTTGAGAGTGTGTGTTTGTGAGTGTGTGTTTGTGAGTGAGTGGTGGTTGGGGAAGGGGTAGTGTTTCTGTGTTAATGTTCGTTTTGTGTATGTGTGAGTGTGTGTATATGTCTTTGTATTTGTCTATGTGTGTATATCTGTTGTGTATGTGTGTGAGTGTGTGTGAGTGTGTGTGTGTGTGTGTGTGTGTGTG